CTCTCTCTCTCTTATGCAGATAAAAAGATTTCCTAACAATAAACAAAAATAATGGGACTTAAGCAATTATGCCTGTGTCCTCTCTCTCTCTCTCTCTCTCTCTCATACACACACACACACACACACGCATGCTGCTTATCTCCATATAAATTACTCTGAAGCCATGCGTTGCACGGGTTGTGTAGTAGTAAATACAGTTTATGACATTATTCTGGATCTGTGAAATTTTTTTTGCTTCTCTGGCCTATATATTATGACTGATTCTCAGATCTTGGCATGCCTCTCTTTGATTCTTTGTACTCAGGTTGAGTGATAGAGAAACTTATTTATAATTGTTGCAATATTTATGATTATATTTACATTCAGTTCATTGTGATGCTACATTGCATTCCAAAGGGCATGGGCAAAGTAAGAATGAATGATATAAAAGATTGTGATGAAATTTTACATGTAAATTAAGAGATGCATGTAGTTGGAGCTTTAACAAAATGGAGTTTTTTTTTTCGTTGGAGAATATTTTTCACACAGTGAAGTCAGTTATACATCTCAGATGCAAGTGCTTGAGATTTTGTTTGAAAAAAACATATGTACGACTTTAAATCTTCTCATAGAAAATTTTCAAGACTATGGACCAACTAGTTCCATAGAGCCAGTGTCCACTCTAATAGGCATATTCTAATGGGGGTTATATAAATGGAGCGAGAAATATGCATCTGTCCTACCTCAGAAATTTTAATGCATGCAAACAACATTATTTCATGAATGTCTCTTCTAAAAGACTGGCATAGACATCACTCTCATGATGGCCAGGACAGATAACATTTGGAGCATGTCATGTACCAGCATATTAATGAAGTGCAGAGCAATTATTTTTAGAAGAGCAGCCATGAAAACTCTTTTTTTAATTCCTGACATCATTATATACTTACTATCGCGGTTTGAATATATAGCCATTGTTTGCATCTGGAGACAATCTCATCTACTGTTTCTGTTGAACCACTTCACATCATCTGATTGTGGTGCTAGGAGTGGCTGTGATACTTACCTGATCCAGAGTTGTGTTACTGATATTTTGCATTATGCTTGTGATGTCCTTGTTTATGTGCTTGTCAGGCCTTCATTGACTTGTATTTTTGCGTTGGTCCTTGTCTAATTGCTCATGATTTTCAGTTTAGGGACTTATTTTGTAGAAACTGTTGGCGGCCTTATTATTTTCTTGTGTGATTGGTTGGTCTTTGTACATTAGGTATCGGGCTTTTTCCTTTCTTTCCTTTAAATTAAGCTGATATGTTTACTTTCCTGTTTTAACTTTATAATGTTTTTGGAGTGTTCTTTTGGTTTTACTTTTCAATAAAGCCAGTGCCTTATCCTAGGACAGGCTGGGGTTGGTTATCTATTTGTGCCTAAGGATTAATGAGTCTCCAAGACTTGTTCTCATGGTATGGAGAAGTGAAATAATTTCCAGGAACTAGTGTTGATGAGAATGTGTTTCCAGATCCGTGCCTTGCTAAATCTTTAGAGCTTTCTGCATCCATGACAACACTGGTCTAGCCAGCTAAATACTCTGCAGACAGGATATCCAAAAACCAGTTGGAACTGGTTTTAAGTATGGGGAGACTTGCCACTTGAACTGATCAATAGTACCCCTAGGTGATCGGGTCCATCTGTTTAGATCCGACAGTTAGGATGTGGTGATACCATGGCCATTTCCCTGGGTAATTTTGAGGTTTATTGATATTTGATATTTAGAGAGAGCTGAATTACTTAATATAATCAATTTGATTCCAAATTCATGTTCCCGAGTTGCAGAGAAAATCCAAATTGAGGCAATCTTTCCGGATTTGTCTTTTGATGTTCAATGGGGTGGCTTTTGTTTTCATTTGTTCCCCTCTCAAAGTTTGAAAGGGTGGTTATACTCCACCTGTTGCATCTGTGTATGGTATGGCAAAAAACTTGTGGTGCATCCATTGTCCATCCTCCCCAATGAATGGTTTGAGTGGTGGACCCATGGGCTGTTGATAGAATGTGGCGACTTAAGTGTATCCAACGTCCATACCCATCCATCTATTTGGGAGGACGAACTGTGGATGGCCACACATATGTTGATATACCATTGCGATGCATGTTTTTCTAATTTGATATTTGTCACATAAATGCCATAGAGACGTCAATACATTTAATATAGTGTTTAACAGTACAGACTCAGGCTCGGACTCCCCAACATCCTGAGCCTGAGCTGCAGAGTCATGCAAGTTGGAGGCCGAGGTGGAGGTCTGAATTGGCCGATTATCTGGGAAAATAATATAAAGGACCTGAGGCTTGGGAGACACCTTAGTTTTGGGCTTCTACCTCCAGAATCGCTACGGTTTTGATCCAGGCAACTTGGGCAGGGCGGCATGGCAACTTTTTAATCACTGTTTTAATCTATAAGGCCATATGCCTATATGCAGGTGAAGCAATTCCGCTGGAGTACAATCTTGCCGGTTTGAATGCGATAAGCTTTGATAAGGGATGCTATGTGGGCCAGGAGTCTGTTGCTCGCACCCATCACCGTGGCGTTATTCGGAAGCGACTTATGCCCCTAAAATTTGTCAATAAAAGGGATGAAGGTACTATAACTCGCCCTCTCTCCCTCTCTCTCTCCCGTCTCTTTCTTAAAGTCTACTGACATTCTTTGATGCCCTTTAGTTCCGAGATTTTTGGCAAGAGCTTCTCCATGATACATATTATCGATTTGTTTTTTGTCTTTCTATTGAGAGCAGAGGCGGAAGAAAAATGGGTGGCACCAAAATCAGAGGTGGTGGATGTGAAGTCGGATAAGAAGGTGGGGACTGTGACAACTGCAATGGGGTGCCTTGGGATGGGGTTGGTGAGGGTGGAAGATGCATTATTTGGAGGTGGGTTGCTTGGGATAAGGGGAGAAGAGGATGTGAGAGTGAAGGTTATTCGGCCCGATTGGTGGCCACTTGAATGGGTGCAGCAACAACAACAGCAGAGTGCAACTGCCTAGCTATCCATGCCTGGTCCAAAAATTTTTGAGAGAGAGAGAGAGATTATCCATTCTTTGGTGATGGAGAGTAATGGGGTTGAGGGAAGAATACGTGTTTTATGGGTTTCCATGTAGGCTGGGCCATCCTTAGGGCCGATAGGGGTAACACAATGGGTTGATTGTATTGGTAACTAGATTATGAAAATAACTCCTAGCAACCACGGGAATATGTATTTGGTGAGTTATTCAATAAAAGATTCCCCATTTGCCGAGGTTATGCAGTGAAAGCAATGATACAAAGTCAGAAATGGGCTCCAGCGTGTCTGTGGGGTCTGATTCTAGTTTACCTAGTTCGAGTTGGGTGATTCTCGAGTCAGATTGGGCTATACTTCACTAGAAAATTAAAGAGACTGCATTAGGATACTATAGCACTTGGGGAAATTTCAGGAATTTTTGGCCTGGAAACCAGGTCTTTAGAGCCTGGGCGGTTCATGTGTTGGATTGGGCGATATTGACAGAGACTATATCAACAGAGATTACAAAGTAGGTCATGCAAATTTATTTATTTATTTATTTATGCGAAAAATCCTCCCCTGTAATTTTGGGGTAGGACAATCAATTTTCTAGTGGGACGGTGAGAGTGCTTATTTAAAGCATCGGCAGTGTTATTCACTGATTGAGGGGGTGACCATGGCTTATTTAAAGCCACAGTGGTATTGTTCAGAAACCCATTCAAACCCGTTTTAACCTCCTAAACGAGATGGATAGAAGCCAAAGGGACGGCTAACCAACCCGTTTGTCTTTTATAATTCGTCAATACTTGCAATCAATTCATTCGACCGAACTACAAATGGGTACCTAATTGCCGACGTTCTTTTAGTAGATTTGATAGCAGCTTTTTGTTTGATTACAGCTTCCTTTTAATTGCCCTTTTACTTTGTCCATTTTTGTTTCCATTACCTTTTCATCATTTTATGCCACAGTGACGATCCGGCTCCATTGGCAACTAAATGTCGGGAGCGGGTTTATCATATGCACCCTGTCTTAGACTCTTAGTATTGCCAAGGCAGGGATACTTTACGCTTAGGGGTGAAAACAGGTGCTTAGGGGTGAAAACAGGTTGGGTCCGGTTGGACCCAGACCTTGATCCGAATAGTATTCAGGTCCAAGTTTTAGATACGAATGGGTGCGGTTTCAATAAGGTTGTAACCTTAAACAATCCAATTAAGACGCATCTCCAAATTTTATTACAATTTAAATTTGGTGTAAAAAATTATTAGTATTATCAAAAAATGTATTTTCATATTTAATTATAAAATTTTAAACTCCAAATGGTTAAGATCTATAAACATGTGAAAATTTTGAAAATGGATGGTCTAGATAAAGTGTTGTAAGATGTACTATCTTTGCGACTCAATATCTTTTTTTAACACATTCATACATCTTGATGCCGAGATGATCAATTAGATGGTCTTTCAACATTAAAACAACATTTTTCGATGGATTTTTGAGGTGCATTTATAATTCTACATTAAGGTTGCACCTTATGTAAATTTTTTCTTTTATGAATATGTACGTATACCCACATTCTTTACTGTTTTACACTGGAAATTTCTAAAAAATAAATACATTGATAACATTTATGAATACTCACATAATGTATGTCCATATTATTTGGGTTGAGTAAGGGTTGGGCCCGGTTGGATTAGGATTTGAATAATATTTGGGTCTAAAATTTGGATTCATACTCGGACCCAAGGTCGGGTCTCGGTCTGGTCCATTGCCACCCCTATTTGTGCAACAAGACATGGATGAATGTTGGAAACCATTATTTTGATATTAGCTTTTTAAACAAGGATACTTTGTATTAACATCTTACAAGTATCACGAATTTATTTTAAAAGCAACTTTCTAGAAATGATTAGCTCATGGACCTTTTAAAATAAAGAAGATTTCATGCGTTGTTGGGAGGAGCTGGAAATCGTATGATGGGTATTAAAACTTTTACTCGCTTCTTTTGATCTAAAGTTAGCTCATCATACTTTTAATAAAATTTCGAAGGACATCTCCTCAAGGCTGATAGATTGTTGGATCAATGAAAGGTTAACTAGTTGATCTCTTAGGATTGATTCGTCCATTTGATAAGGTCATTTGAAATGTTACTGTTTTTTTTTTTTAAAAAAAAAAAAAAAACAGTAACATTTCAAATGCCAAAAATAATGGAAACATAAGTACATGCTCAAAACAAACAGACTAGTTCCAATGTCATTTGTGGCTCTAATAATTCCATATAAAATAGGGTTGCAAACGTATCTTAGTCCAATGGGATTATATATATTATCAGAGTCTAAAATCATTTGTGGCTCTAATAACTAAATAGAAAATGGGGGTGGAAACGTATTTTAATCCAATTGTTTAGATTTTACCAAAGTTTTAAAAACCGTCTATCAGAATAGAAATCTCTCAATCTGGATTGAAAAATGGTGGAACCATGATAATTCCCGCTTTTAGAGAGAGCCATCATGTCCTTTGATAGAACCGCCTTGTTCTATCAATGTACCCACCTTCTTTTTTTATCGTTTTTCTCTTTCATTCAGAAAATTTTGTAATTTTTTATTAGAAAGAGGGGTAGTGGGGTGGCCCATCCCTCTTTTAATGTTTTTGATCTTTTGTGCTAATTTTTTCAAAATTTACTAACTATGTTTCAATATGAAAACTTTCTCCATGAATAGAGGGCCCACCATCTTTATTGTGACCTTTATCCCTGATGCGGGACACATATAAACCAGTAGTATCCTTTGTCAATAATCGGTAAACCCGTATGACTTGACCTCCTGTAGAGAAGTTAACCACAAATTGTTGAGCTGGGTAAAGATTTTTTAACCCCTCTCTCTCCTTTAACATGCAATGATAACCTTTTGGAAGGGTTCTGCACCTAGTTCACTCGGTTTCTTCTTCTGGCTGCTCCACCCCAACTCCCAAAATGATTACCTATAAACATTGGAAATAAATCAGTTTTAAAGTCGAAGGCCAAATATCCGGTAAAAACTACGGATTGCCAAAAAAGTTGGGTAAAATGGAGAATCGTGAATATTTTGGGTTTGGCTAATGAAAAAAATATGATTAAAGATAATAAAATGTAAGATTATGCGTTGCGGTTATTGTATTAATGTATTAAAACCATTCAACTATAGTTTTTTTAGTTACCTGCTACCATTAGAGTCATTTTCAACAAATTTTGTCTAATCTTTCAATAAATACAACAAATAAGGCTTATATTATTGCCACGACACAAAACATACTATAGATTTATTGGGAGCATACAAAAAAAAAAAACACTAAATACAACAATTACATTAGTAAACAACATGAACTAACTCAAGGCATGAGATTATGAATCTAAGTAAAAAAAACAAAAAACATCCTAAATATAGGATTGTAGTTAACTATAACACAAAAACCAGAAAATATAAATTAGTGGTCCATCCAAGTCGCTATGTTTATGTTGTCTATACTAATGAAATAAAAAAATAAAATAAAAGGTGAAATTAATGAAACCTTTGTATGTAGAGAGATAGAAACAAAATGTTTGAGCAAATTCGAATGTTTGAAGCTCACCCTAAATGCCGAATTGCCTAAATCTTTAGTTGTCATTGAATCTCTATCTTGATCTTTATAAATCCAACTATTACTTTGAGAAATATGGTTGTTTTGATGGATTATTTTCTAAAAAAATATTGCTCATTTTTAAGGGAATGTCTTGGTGAAGTTTTTTAATGAAATTTATTGTTAAATCAAGATACTTAATTTACTCATAATTTAAATGTTCTTATATCTAGAAAAACGTTTATATAAGGATGCCACTTTATAATGTAGAACTACGGATGCACCTCAAAAATCCACCGGAAGAGGTAGTTTTAATGTTGAAAAACCCTTTGATTGATCATCTCGACATCGAGATGTATGACCATGAAAAAAAGAAAGATTTTAAGTCGCATAAATAGTGTATTTTACAACAAATTATCTACACCGTCCATTTCAATATCTTCATAAGTTTATAGATCTACTTGATTTTAACCATTTTTTAAATTTTAAATTTTATTATTAGATACAAAAATAGATTTTGATATAATCCTAAGAACATTTTACATCAAAATTATATACCATGATAAAATTTGAAGATGCACCTTACCTATGTAGCTACGGATGCATCCGTATGCCAACTGCACCCTTATATCTAACCTAAAATTAAAAAATATCAAATCAATAAAGAGATAAAGTTATATAGGAGACGTTTTCTATGAAAAGTTTTTTTTCAAAGATAAAATATGGAATTATATTGATCCCATTTTTTGAAGATCTTTAAAAAAATTTGGAGTTGTTAATGGATTTCAAAATATCGAAGATTTTCTTAAAGATGGTACTTTAAGTTCTTAATAGACTTCAAAATATCAAAGATTTTCTGAAATATCGTATTTTAATCGAAGACTTGCTAACTATACTCCGTAGAATAAATGCAATGCATATGAGCGTTGTTCTTGTTTTATTTGTTTATTCATTGATATAGCTTGGTAATCAACTGAAAGAATCTTATTAGTAGGAAACTAGGAAATTAATTGTGCTTGTTAATTGTGCCAAATACCTTATTGAAAATATAAAATCAGTAGAATTGAAAACTGTGTATTTTGTCTGCCTCGATGCAAGATGAACTTCTTTATAGACCCCATTATTTATTGGCGAGACTATTTCAATTGCCAAATCTAATTTTTTAAAGAGAAAGTTATCTTCATAGAAATTTGAGAATTTAAAAACCCTAAAATATTAAATGCTCATCAATGTTTTAACATTCATGTAGTTTTGCAAGATAATTGAAATTCATAATGTGCTACTCTCATTTTCTTTGAAAATCCAAAAAACATTGTTTACAATGATTTTTAAAAATTTGAAAGGTAGGATCTGACCAATCCAGCTCCAGACCACTAATCCAAACTGATTTTCTAGCTGGACGATCAAGGTCACCAATCCGTTTTAGTCATTTATTTATTTTTAGACTACTATGTATTTAAGAACTGAAATTGTAATTTTTATTTTTCATAGACAATCATGGTGATTATTAGGTAGGTCCCTAAATGTAATAAGACTATGAGTAAGTGTTCATTCATTATGGTCCAACGTAAGCATAATATATGCGCCAAAAAAAGAGAGGGCATGGCATGGCATATCTCCTTTCCTTTGAAATGGTCTCCATGAAGCTTTATTTCAAATGGGCCACCACAAAGATTAATTATTTAATTCCACTCTTTCTGCGGCAGGAGCACGGATTCTAGTCTGACCATATAGCTGTAACACATGTGCACAAGCTGCCAATTTGGAACACAATCCTTTGATTCTAAACAACAAAAATGAATCCAAAATCTTAGGAATTGCACTATACCTTCACCTCACCTCTTCAAATCTAACCAAAAATAATCCCCCCACACACATGAAGTGAAGTGGGAAGATATCTCTTTTTCAAATAAATCATTTGGCTTCAAATAATAAGAAAAAACAAACCACGCGGTTGAAAAAAAATTCACAGATGGTTCTGGTTCTAAGAACGTAGCAACGATTTCAATTATCCGATGTTCATGTCAGGTAAGCGATTCTGGTTCTGAGAACGCGGGGGTTTCTTCCATTTTTAGTTTCATTGTTAAATCTAACTCAATCTGGTTCTAGGGCATGGCAAAAGAGCTCCATCCAATGCAATAAACTGGAGAACAGCTGTGCCCTCTCCCCTTCCTGTGTCGGCCGGCCCCTGCCCCTCCTCAGGGATGGAATCCTAATATTTATGAGAAAACAAACATTTTTGAGGATGGCTCCCATTCAAAATGAAAGGAGAAGACAAGAGATATTAAATACAAAAAAGCAGAGTGCAACAGTGGCATCAAATGTGGTTGTAGTTTGTGTCAGCTTAGCCTGCAAAAACTTCACCCTTCACTCCACTCCACTCCAACTCCAAATGAAGGGTTAAAACCAAAAAGCAAGCTTTGTGAAGTATTAAGTACTTCACAGCACAGTCCCCTGCCTTGGACCGCAAAGAAAGAGAGAGTTATAGTGTTAGATTTTGATGGGTGAGTTCTTGAACCACCATGCTCATGGTGGGCCTCTGGCTTGGGGCCTCGCTTGTACAGCGCAGAGCGATGCTGACCACGTGGGTGGCCTCCTCCTTGGAGTAATTCCCTTTGAGATTGGGATCCATGAGGTCACCCAAGTTACCGGATTCGGCCAGATGACACCCACCAAAACTGGTGGCCTTTCCAGCCAATACGTGCAGCACCAACACCCCGAATGCATAGACGTCGCTCTTGTCCGTGAAGCGGCCGACCGTGGTGTACTCTGGCGCGAGGTAGCCCATCGCGGCGCACCCCTTGAGAGTCGAGAACACCACGTCGTCTGCCAGCAGCTTGTGCTGCCCCGAATCGGAGAGGCGGGGATTGAAGTGGTGGTCTAGAAGCACCTTCTCCGCCGAGATGTTCTGATGAACTAGGGCCGGCTTGTTACTCATATCGCCATGCAAATACTCAATGCCTGCACCCATCACCACAAGTCCACATTTTTCAGATTCTTTGTCCAAACTCCAAAATAGAACACATTAAAGCCTAAACTGGTGCACCACCACCTATACTTACTAATCTGAGGGAAAAAGGAAGAAGCTAGAAAAAGGAATTTTGGCATACACACCACCTTGTAATTTCATAGCAACAGAGCAGATACTAAATTCCAATGATGCTATCTACTCATAGAATGCAGGCCCCATTTTTGCAAATTTACTAAAACAGCTGCATTTAGTTACAAACCATGAGCACATGCTCCCAAAATCCCAACTGAGTGATCCAAAAATTGAATGATAATGTAAGAAACTGAATTCATTCAATTTCAACAAACTGCCACTGAATTCTTGAGCGGCTATATTCAAGTGAATGCATGAATGAAGAGGAGAGAATCACACTGACCTTTTGCTATGCCATTGATGATCTTCACTCGGGTAGGCCAGTCTAGAACCCTTCTTCCACTAGTAGCACCCCCATCCAGGTACCGAGCCAGCGTCCCATTGGGCATGAAATCGTATACAAGGAAGCACTCCCCCCGCCCTTTCGAGCAGCAGAAGCCCCTCAACCCGACCAGGTTCTCATGGCGGAGGGAAGTCAGAATCTTGAGTCCCTTGAGAAACTCCACCTCCTCAGTTTTGCAGCTTGTCTTGTTGATGCTTTTCAAGGCGACCACCGACCCATCTCTAAGCATCCCCCTGTAAACAGCCGCAAAGCTGCTCTTCCCCAACAAATTCACATCGGAGAAGTACTGCGTCGCTGACTCCACCTCCTCCAGGTTGAACCTGAAGCTCTGCAGTCCCTCGAGGGAGCTCCCACCCTGCTCAGCCAAGGGATCCCAACCATTAGCATACTCAAGGCTTATGAGAGGGGAGGCGCTCTTCCTGTTGTTGGTTGTGGTGATACTGAAATCCTTGGCCACCTGGTCGGAGCTGAGCCTGCTGTCGGAAGGCTCAAAGGCACTCCCTATCTTCTGCTTCCTTCGGCGGTACCATGAAAAGAGCAAGAGGCCACCTAGAATCATTCCCGCCGTGACTGCAACCACAGCCATTACAATGGCAATCTCAGGGGACTTGGAAGACCGGGAGCTGCAATGACCACTGCCTTGTTCACATCCAGTGATGGTGGGGGTGGTCTGCACATTCACAGATTCGGGTTTGGTAGGCTGAACTCCATTGGGGGTGGAATCGGGGCCAAATGCGTCCGGCCTTATGGGTTGTAAATCAGAAGACTTGCAGCCCTGCAACCCCAAGAAATCTGCACCGCACAGATCCGAGTTGTTCCCATACTGGAACCCATCATTCAACCTCTTGAAAGCTTCACAAAAGATTTAACAGAGTTAGAAATGCAATAGAAGACGCATTTGAAACAGGATTCTCCCTTAATTTGTTGTAGTGACAGAGTGACCCCGTCTACCGATCTACTGAGATTCAACACTACATTGCACTGATTTCCGGTAGTGCGGAAAACAAGAAAATAGAACGCCTCTCTCTCTCTCTCTCTCTCTTACCAGTGGGGACATTGCCGGAGAGAGTGTTGTTTCTGACATCGAGAACATTGAGCAGGGGAAGAGCAGTGAGCCTCCCAGGAATGGAGCCGAAGAGGAGATTGAAGCTCAAATCCAACCTGGTCAGCTGGCTTATCTCCCCAAGACTCGCCGGAATGGCACCTCTCAAATGGTTGTGCTGCAGAGCCAGAACGTTGAGCTTCTTCAGTGAGCCCAGCTCCTTTGGTATGCTGCCAGTCAGCTGGTTGCAGCAAAGCTCAAGTGCTAAGACAACAGAACACAAATCAATCAAGTTCTGCAGATCTGGAGAGAAAGAGATAAGACCAAACCTCAACAGGTTGGAGAGTTGTTATCAGAGTTAGAGAGAGATTAGTATTATGAAGAGAGAGATGACCAAACCTCAACCGGTTGGAGAGTTTTTATGAGAGATTAGTATTATGGGTTTTGTAGAGAGAGATAGAGGTGAGTTTTTGGGGATGATTTTGTGGTTGGCAGAAGTTAGAGATTGATTAGTATTATGGGTTTTCTAGAGAGAGAGAGGAGTACCTTGCAGATTGGGGAGGGAACCGAGGTCTGGAGGTATTGAGCCGGAGAGAGAATTGACATTGAGGTAGAGATCAGTGAGAAGGGTGAGGTTGGAGAGCTCCTTGGGTATGGGGCCTGTCAAGGAGTTGTAATGGAGGTAGAGGCCCGTCAGCGACTTCAACCCGGAGATGGCGGCAGGCACTGAACCAGAGAGACCCTTTCCTTGCAATGAAATATTCGCAACCTTTCCATTCTCGTTGCAGGCCACCCCCTGAAACTCACCGCTGCAGGGGTCGCCGCCCTTCGTCCAAGAGCCGAGAAGCCTGTTATCAGGGTCGAGGGCGCTCTTCATCGCCATCAGCGTCTCTGCTTCTTCGTTGCCATGAGTGAGAGAAAAGCGCAGAAGAAGAAGAAGAAGAAGAAACAGCAGCATCATCTCAGGGAGCACATGGAAACCCATCATCTCTCTCGCTTCTCTTGTTTCAATTGCAGATGCCCATGCTTTCTTGCTCTCTGGTTCTGGAAAAATGGGTTTTTTTGAGCTCCAATGCAGCGTACAGAAAGAGAGAGGGAACTAAACGTGCCACAGCAGAGCGTTTTGTTGTTTTACAAGGAATGGAGGAAAACAAATGACAAAAACCAGAGAGGAAGAGAGGATTCAAAATAAGTAAAAAACAAAGTGCCAAAAGAAGTCAGCTTTTTGCGCCCATCGAGAGGCACACCCATTGTGAGTGAACACAGGCATCCATCTTTTTTATTTTCAGAGATAACAGAGAGAGAGTACAACTATGCATATTATGAGAGAGAGAGAGAGAGAGAACTGGACTGGGTGGGAGTTGCAGAAGCAGGAACAGGAACAGGCGGCTTGGCAGTCTGCTTTGGCTTTCACGCCAGGAGTCCGGGGCTCGAAAGAATGGAATCCGGTTCTCTCTCTCCTCCCCTTACCTCACTGTAAATCTCAACTTTTCTTATTGAATTGTTTTGTTTGTGTTAGAGAGAGAGATTGGGTCGGGTGTTTGTTCAAATTGTACAACTACTGTGAACTGCAACTACTTGTGGCATGTAGTTAGATGCTTCCCATGCATTCTTCTCACTCAACACGAAAAATACAGGGTATTGCTTCAAAGCCCAATGGACCTCGCCCTTCTTTCGTTAGACCCCGCCCCACCCTGACCGAGCCAAAGAGCCCTAGCCATGGCCCTGGCACTCGCCCTCCCCTAACCCTCTTAGGGCCATGTCGGGCTAGCAAAAATTTTAAAAAAATAAAATGAAAATTAAAGAAAAACAGGTCTGGCCCTTGGGATATTTTGTTGCCCAAGTTCTTATTTTATTTTTTTAAAGCGAGTCTAACTAGGGAATACTATTTGGGTTAGGGTCCACCATTTGCGTCTGGGTCCATGTGTGTGCACGCATTCATGAATGTTGTCAACGCATTTTGCTCCTTTGAAATTTCCAACGATTATTTAAAATAGTAAAAAATAATGCCGGTATTCATGAATGTTGTGTAATATTATAAGGATTACAAATAATACGGGTATATGATGGTAAAAAAAAAAAAGATAAAAGAAAAAAAAGATTAAGACCATTTACCTTTGGATACAAGGCCGTCACAATTACTCACAATTATCTGATATGAAATTTGATAGCTTGGATGTGTTATCGATAAATTTTTAAAAAAAATTGAATTTGGTCAATAGAATAATTACAGTCATCCAATTTCACATCCGATGATCAAGATTAATGTGACCACTTTGTACCAAAAGTAAATGGTCTCACTCTATGTTTTCCAAAAAAAAAAAAAGCTTATAATCATAACCACATAAATAGCAATTTCGGATAGACCTGACATCCGATCCAAAATTTGAACTCAAAAGATTGGGTCCAGCCAGCCCCAAAACCTCAACCCCAATAATGATTGGACCCGACCCGACCCGGAGCTCACCCTCTAGAAAGCCAAAAGCTCTCTCTCCGTGGCTAGGAGCGTTTACCTAAGCAAAGCAAAGCAAAGCAAACCGCAGTCGACAGTTGCTAGCTGGCAACGGGAAGGGTAAGTCTGTAATTGTTGGAATATAAAAGGGTTAAATATGACTTTGTATTTGCTGGTTCAAGCTTCAAAATCTTAGTGACGTGTCGTGGACGAATGGGTACATGTTTTATTCAAAGCAAAATTGGAGTTGGAGTTGAAAATAAATTCAAATCGTGTTTTTAGTTTGGAGATGGGACAAGGACAAGGATAAGAAACGTGGAAGTCCACAACTCCACTCAGTAAATTAATGGAGAAATGGAAAACGAAAAACGATGAAAGTTTTCGACATTCCAAAGTCCGCATAGCAAGAGCAAGTGCAAGTGCAAGCTGCTTTGATTATTATTAATAATATATGAGGGAGAATATGAATCCACCCAACCAACAAACCATGTCCTCTCATAACACTCTTCTTTGAAGCTATGACTTCAAAATGGAAAATATTTTCATAGGGCCGCTTTCCTGTCCAAAAAAAAAAAACAAAGGCCTCACCTCAAAACTCATTCAAAAATGTACTTATGCCATTGAAATATCTTGAAATCGAAAAAAAAAAAATTAGGGAAACATCCGTTATAGTTATGTTATTAGCATAATACCAAATAGTTTATATTATTATTGCATGTCAGTTTTTTCACTTCATAACGAAATTTTTTTAAAAAAGATGTTTTTATCTTTTTTCGGTTTTTGAACAACATAAATTATTAGAATTTCGGTCTTTCAAAAACCAAATATTTTCGTGTGAAAAAAAAAGAAGCATTTTTCTTGATTTTTTAAGGTTCCAACAAATTTTTGTCCCCCAATGGAGTATCCTACAAACATTTATGTTCCTCGATACAGTATCCCACGAACTTGAAGATATTGGCTCTCAGTCTGCTCGTGATTGATACCTTTTTGACTCTTGGCTTATACTGTTGATTAATTTTATCACAAATAATAAAATATTTTATTTTGTTTTACTATTTGTTGTGTATTGTTGAAGTGGAATTTTTTTTAGGTAACTATTGTTGACGTTGTTTATTTGTATTGCTATTTGTTGCTTATTTTTTTGGGGTAAATTTTGCAAGAATTAGCATTTCTCCAATCTCATTGCCCATTTGTCTTCTAGACCTCCTACCAACGTAGATGTGATTTTTTGGAATGCCATATTTAGCTCCAAACTGCTGGCACATACGATCCGGCATATATGGCTTGACAATATCGTCAAATATCATGGTCGTTATACACAATGAGGTTTTGAATGCCTACTGCCTATCATCTAAAATGACATCATTAAGCCTGAAATAGGGATTTCATATTCATATGATATGAAATCAATCAACAAACAACTGTAAATACTTAAAAATAATCAAAATCCTTCCATAATAAATCTTGTAATATCAAAGTTAATACTTACCTCATTAGGTTGGAGGTTATCGAATTCTTATCTAATGGGAGGCATTAGGTTATGTGGATTGTCATAATAATTTTTTGGTAGCTCCCATCTTTTTGCCCTAGGCATATTTGAAGATATACTATGTGGTATGGGCCTTATATGCATAATATGCTCATAAGACCAGCACTACATTATATTAAGATATGATAAGCAATAATTATTTTTGAAAAGTAGTCTAAACTATTACGCTTATGTAAGATACGAAAACATAATTTACCTGCATAAGAGTGGTTGAGCCACTAAAATGTCTTTGCTTGAAACTACAAGCATTTCCGAGGGAACAATATAGATATGCGAGGGCTGCAGCACCGCAAGCATACTTGTCAGCTTCCTCAATATCTTCAAAAAATTATAAATACCCCGTAGGCACTGTTGACTGCGATGGATATGAGAAAAATGGTGACGCTGATGAGGAATAGAAGGTACTCACGCATACACCTAAGAACTTGTACTGGGGTTCTATCAGGTGACAATTGATGAAAGTTGGCTTTCAACCATGAGTGCTTGATGATTTTGAAAACCCCAAATATCACTGAAACAAATTATCATACTTATAAAACTGTGAAATCCGTCAAATAAACCCTAAAGCGACCTCTTCTACTCAAGTGTGAAACCCTCAATCATTATCTTATACAATGTAAACTTCTAAAATCGAACAACAAATCATTATATACATACATTCACTATAGATTTGAAATCCGTCAAATAATTTCAAAATCCGTCAAATGCAATTAAAATTCATCAAAAACCTTATTTTCAAATGTAATCAAATCTATAGAATGGGTTTTCTTATGAGAGAGGTAAGAGAGAGAGAGAGAGAATAAATCATAGAGAAGAGAGAGTGGAGCGCCAAAGTGTTGAACGAGACAGACAGAAGCAGGGTTCGTAATGTTTAAACAAGCCAAACTGGTTTCGGTTTTTCAAGAACCGAAATTAGCTTATTTTCGGTTTTTGAAAAATCGAAATTCCAGCCATTTCGATTGTTCAAAAACTGAAAAGGGTAAAAATGTATTTTTTTAAAAAAATATCGTTATGAAGTGGAAAAATGCGAACATGTGAGTAATAACATAAACTATTTGGTATTTTGGTAATAATGAAAACTATAACATATATTTACGTAATTTTTCTAAAAAATTAAAATTTCGAGCCCTATAAACAATATAAATTGTAACATATTATTTAAACTGTTTATTTTACCTTAACGCTAAGTATTCATATATCTACAATATCTGTACTATTTTTTAGCTTCAAATTTAATAGTTTGTGTTGAAAATTGATTTTAGAGTCATCATAAGATTTTCTTATACCCAAAATACTTTTCCAATGATTATTCGAGGTGAGGCTTTACTTTACTTTCATAAAATCTAGGGCTTATAAAAATTATATTCGTAGAAAATTCAAGTGCATTTCAAAAACTTGAGGTAGCCTGGGTTTGCAAGCACTGCAAGTAGGGTCGTATGAGTTGGGTCTATCAAGTAGGGTCGTATGAGTTGGGTCTATCAAAGGAAGTGAACTACGCTCGGTCAAGTTAAGGTTGGAACCGAGCCGAGTCTAGTTCCAACATAGTCAGTCATAATATTCATCAGTATCCATCATCATCCAACTCTTATCCCAATGATTAGGGGTTGACTACATGAATCACTTTCATCCATTCTTCTATTCTATGTGTCATAATATTCAAGAAATTTTATTTTGAAATTTAAACTTATCTCCACCCATCCGATGTTATATCCAACAGCCAAGAATAAATGTGATCTTCATATATATGTATAAAATTTTAGTGAGTCCTCCCACTAATCTATTAAATGAGTTTTCTCTCCAAAACCGTTGATAAGCATGAATCTAAAAGACTTAGGGATTGAAAGCATATTATGATGAGCATGAATATATACAAATAAAAATGGGTTTTTTTTGTATGATTCTAACACCATCAATTTTAGGTTTTCGTGGAGGGGCCATTTTTAAATGTATAGATGGATGTTTAATGCCGGCGGGGATGCTATTGTGGATTTGCATGAGGAGATGCAGGAAATGTTTTTCAAACATGTATAAAAAGATTGGATTGAATCCCACATTCCCGACCGAATCCAACTTGGTTTAGTCCAAGATGGATCCACACCTGACCCAATATCAGGTCCAAACTTTGGACCTAGACTCGACTCATTGGATTCAATGAATTTGGAGACAAACCCGAAACTTGGCAAAATGCCAACTCAACCCAATAAACTTTGGAATCGCTCAAGTCTTCTTTAGTTTGTAATTTTCTTTTTTTTATTTATCAAAATTTGCATCGTGTAACTCAAACTCACCCAACCTGGATAGGGTGATTCAAGATCGAACTTGTGTATGTCTGAAGTTATCTCAGCTATCCATCACCCTATACGGATGGAGTGATTCGGAATCAAACTTGTGCATGCCTGAAGTTATCTCATCTATCCATTCAAATTGGATGGCTGAAACAAGGATAACATTTGATTTATAACTTCATGGGGGGCGTACCACGCCAAAAAAAAAAAATGATAACAAAAAGGAATAAAGAAGAAAAAGCAAAAAGTAAAAGGGGGTAAAAGGGTGCGTGTACTAGCAAAAGTTAGAGATGAGAGAGAGCCAAAAGTGCTGGGGCTGCTGGACTGTTCTTTTAATGTATAAAATTAAATAAGAATG